GTGATGCCCCTGTAGTTATCACACTTGCTGAGATCGCCTTTCTTTGGTATTTTGACCAGAAGTTCTTCCTTCCAGTTTACTGGCTCTTGTTCCTGATCCTAAATCGTATTGAAGAGAATCTGGAGTATCCTTGCAGTTACCGCTACGTCTCATTTCAGAGCCTCTACTGGAATGTTGTCTGATCCTGCTGCTTTGCCACTCTTGATTTTTCTGATGGCCATGCTGATCTCTTCAATTGTTGGTTAACCAACATTTAATAGGGGGTCCGTGTGTGCTACTTTGATGTTGGGTGGGTTCATTGTGGCTGGCCGATTCAAGAGTTCTTTAAAGTGTCCTACCCACCTTTTTTGCTGTCCTTCAATGTTGGTGATTACTTTGCCTTACTTGCTTTTCACTGGTCGTTCTGGTTTGCGTTGATTTCCAGAGAGTTTCTTTGTCGTGTCATAGAGTTGTCTCATGTTTCCTTCTGTTGCAGCCTTTTCCACTGTCATTACTAAATCTTCCACATATTTACGTTTGTCATTTCTGATGCTCTCCTTTACTTGCTTTTTTAATTCTGTGTATTCAGCTTGTGCCATGACTTTTTCTGCTCTTGTTCGGCTGGTATTGATTGCTGCTTTCTTTTTTCTCCTTTCTCGAATCTTACCCAGTGTATGAACAGTGATCCATTCCTTGTGATGGTGCTTCTTGTGGCCTAGAATCTCGTGACATGTTGAAGCGATTGCCCATTTTATCCCTTTCCAGTTGCTCTCCATAGTAGTTCCCACTTCATTGAGTAGATGGTGAAAAGCCTGGGACCTATTACCAGAGGTTCTCCTGAATTAATTCTCTTTTTCAGTATCCTGAAGAAAAGTAGTATTAAACGTTTGTGATGTTGTCCACTTCTTTGTCCAGTGCTTCTTAAGTCTCAATTTCATCTTGGCGACCTGCAGGTGATCATATAATGTTATGTCAGCTTCTCTCTTGGCTCCCGCATCTTTCATCTTCTTCCTGAACTTTTTTTGATGCACGTGTGGTCAATTTAGTTCTGTGTAGTATTATCCGGTGAATTCCATGTTGCTTTGTGTATGCATTTATGTAGGAATGTAGTGCTCCTTATGACCAGTTCATTGAAGGCACATAGGTTTGCAAATCTCTCACCACTTTTTTTCTTTCTCTGATAGTCCATGTCGTTCTACAATGTCTTCTTATACGGAGTTGTCCACTCAAACTTTGGCCCTTTAGTTCTCCCATCACAAAAGTCAAGTCCTTTGTTTGACACTTCCCAACGACTGACTGAAGCCTATAATAGAACTGATTATTAACGTATTCACTGTATTCGTTGGTAGGGTGACGTTCACTCTTTCTTTGTTTTAAAGGAGGCTTTGTTGATACTGGTTACATGAGATTCCTATTCAATAAGTGCTTTTTGTGCTTGTTTGAATAGCATCATTCCAACTCTTTGTGTTGGTGTAGCATTTTCTTCTTCATGGCCGGAGTATGACAGTAGCTCTTCTGAAGATTGACTTTATTGTCAAACCTGTGTCCAATGTGTTTCACGTATTCTAAGCACCTTCAGGTTATATCTTTCCTTTTCTGCAGCAACTTCAAGAACTCTCATGGTCCCTCATATTGTACGAATAGTCCATGTACCTAAATTAATGATTGCTCTGCTTGTCAGAATGGACGTCAGCTTCACAACTTCCGAATGGCTTTCATCATTAAACGTCACGACTCCTCTAAATCAATACCTTCTAAATTTCAGGGCAGATTTTAAATGTTTTGAATTATTTCTGCTTGTAAGCGTTTTTCTAGAGCTTCGTTGAGATCTTTCATATAGTATGCATGGTTCAAAGTTTATCCTGCAGTGTATAATCAAAGACTGTCCCACTTCTTAGCTGACTATCCCTAAAGGGTGCGATATTGAATAGAACCAGGGACTAATATCTGGTGGCTGCGTCTTTTGGGGTTTCGTATAAGATGGCCTGTGTATATACTATTGCTTCCTAAAGTAGTCAAATGTAGTGGCATTGGGCCCTAATACGAGACAATGTGGGAAATAGTCATTCAACATTTAACACGGAGAAAAATTCGACGATGAAGAGGGCTGGAAGAATGAATTGAATTAATTGGCATGACTCGACCATGTAGGCGTGGTCCCTGCTGAATGTTACCTTACATCTTTTATTCATAACCACTAATCCTTCCCTCCACTTGTGTTCTGTATTTTTGGAGTGGCTCGTGATTCCTTGAATAAATTCGTCGAATTCCCCATGTGATTCGTTCATCATACAGTTCTCATAGTCAGCTTTTCGAGTGTTACCGTTTTCGTCATACTGGTGAATATGACTGTATTTCCATTATCCAAAGAGTCACGAACACACACGAAAACCGTGCACAATATTCTCTGAGCCCTTTTCTCGAGTCCATCCTCAAATGTTTTACGACCCTAGAGTTTGATATATAGATTATTTATTAATAATCATTTCCAGTATCGAGAACAAAACTAAACGTCTATGTAGTTATAGTTTATGTCCAATATGTCGAATCATCTAATCTCACAATAGAGATAGGCGTGAAATTGAAATTTGCAAAACAGCGATTTGTTCAAAAAGCGATTATACACTGAATAATGTGGATAAATTAGCTATAAGCCTGAAATTATGAGTTATGTGTGGCGCCTTGAGCGTCTGTCAGTCTGGAATAAAAAACTCCGTTCAATAATAAAGAATAATAAAAACGTATGATAGCTGCAAAACCGGGACCACGAGTACGCTATTAAGGAATCATTGAGTTCAAACAAGTATTAGACGATGATACAAAATTGAAAATAACTGTTACAGGATTTGAAAAAAAGTGATTACAATGAAGGCCGCAATAAATGTTATGAGTTTATGTAGTTTTGAGTGCTAATCGATCAACTTACATATATGTGTATAAATTGCTAGGAATGCGATTGTTTACTGATTATATTTGAGTAGTATGCAACAGGGCACATAATTATTGGAGGGGTGAGAATAAGGACAGAGAACGTAGACAGACATATTAGTGTAGATGCCGATGAAAACACCGTTACTGTAAACCTTATTTGAATAATGAAAGAAACACGTATGGAATAGTTTTAAAGTGAGTTTTGAGAAGCAACCAACAAATGTTGACAGTTTAACATCAGTTTTAAACCCATCGAGAACCTGGAAGCATTGAAAGGTTATTTCATCCTGGCATAAGACTCCTTAACATTGCGCGTTCACGACATCACACGCGTGTTTCTTACTCAGTACCATCGACGTCGCACGTGACCGTTTAAACCCTAGATCATTGATCTGGTATCCAACAGTGTCACTGTCTGACATCAGCCAATCCACGATGTTGCGCGACCGTCCTCCATTATCTTCATTGAACAACCATCTCACATCAAACCCATAAAGAGGAAATGCGTTGAATCCCGGGTGTGGAATCGTGGATGCGCAATGCTGAGGCATCCCATATTAGGAAGAAACGGCGTTTAGTGTTTTTAGGCATTCAGTGATGGTTTGATATTGATCGATTCATGCTGTCAATCAAAACGCAACAATATCCATGACCCTATGCTGACCATTTACCGCGGGGTAATCAGCTGACATTGGAAACTGTCCGCGAGCAGGCGACATTGAGTGACATTGGTCGAGCTAGAACTAGTAGAATGATATTTGTATAATACCAAACCATCCTATACTTTGCTAAAGTGACATTATAGCCAAACACACGACAGAGTTCATCATAATTTATCGCTTCAGGCGCAAGAAAAACTGTCGACTAATACTAGACAATGTTGAATCTCGAAGGGGGTTCAATAAGGTTTCATAATTAGGCAAAAGAACATACTGCCTAAATTAGGTTTCGAACATTTGTCTTCGGCGTGACGTATAGCGTGGCATATACAGCTGGTCTTACTGATCACTGGATTTCAAGGACGGGACAAGAATGACCTGAGCTCCTACAGAATAGTACTGTTAATTCATATACTGTCGAAATTGTTGAAAAGCTTAGTGTGAGCTTAAGTGAGACGTGTGAAGACGGCCCACGTGTGAATTTAAGGCAGTTCTAAGAACCGGAGAAAAAGCTGAAGATATTCCTACCAATCATTCTTTGGTAGATTATTCCAGAATCTCGACGTGTAGCTTAACTAATGAAAACCCACTCTATGCCGATTGGATGACTACAATGGCGATTTTGCTTTTACTAATAGCTATAAATACCTAAAACTGTTGAGCCACATTCGGCAATGTTTAAAATAGCATGTCTCTTACTTGTCTTCTGTCTTCTCGTTTGCCACTTGAGGAGTTCTAGAGTTCCAGTGCTCAAGAATTTAACTTCTAGATGTGACAAGACATGTTACTGAAAACCACGCATTCAGCATTGACTTATCAAATTCAGTGTCCCCCTCTTTTATATCTGATAAGTTATTCTAATACCTTTAACAGCGCATCATAAACCATTTCATTACTTTGGTATTCGAGAATCGCTTTATTTTTACACATTCGTTCAAACATAATTTGGTAAATCGACCGTTTGTTCTTCTTCCGAAATTTTGATTCTTATGTCATCACTTCGTTGCACATAATTAGAAAATTTCTGTTTAAGTTGGTGTCTGACAGTTGTAACAAACCTACTTTTCTGGAATAAACAATTAGTTGTGACAAAATTATGTGAACTTACAAATAACAATTGAGTTCACTGAGAAGGGTTAAGTTTTTCTTCTTAGTTACGTTGCCTGACAATGGAAAAGCCCGGAATAAATTTTTTGCGCGATGATAAGTGTGCATATATATATTGGATGTTAAATTGCTTAAAACACTTCGTTCACATTTTCTATTAAACACATGCTCACAATTCGATTTCTTCAAGGTCAACCGGTCGAAAATACCTCCCAAAGTACTTTTTTGCCCATTGTGTATGTCATACTGATATGATGATGCTATGACAACATAGTGAAAAGAAATTTATAATACTTGCACAATATTTTTATATAGTTCATAGAGCCTAGATCTGTAAACTTTTATGGTGAAAAGATGTTATAACACAACCTTATATGGTTGCCTAAATATATAAGCTATAAAATCTCGCAAAATGAAGTAGAAATTGACAGCAAGTGTCCTGGAGGGTCACGTTATTAGGGTTCTGTAACACTATTTAGGCGCGAAATTACACTTTTTATTCCACAACACGTTATTATAACATGACCATAAACTAGAGTCAACATACATGTAGCGTTAATCCGTGTGTTTTTCCAGTCATCTGCCTGTACAGCTTGTCTCATTTAGTCGCCTAATTTTTTCTTTATTCACTGTCCCACACGAGTTTTACGTCGCAGTACTGCTCTATAATGTGAGATTAACAGATGTTGGATTGGCGAACTTATACATCATTACGTGGAAAAGAGTTTGTCCTGTTGTTTGTTTGTTTGTTCCTAACCAATATTGGTTCTAGAAGTATTGACTAAAACTGTCTGTTTACAGTGATTTAGTCATTGCCTACGTTAAGCTTGTAAGTTGTAATATGTCAGGAATATGCGTGCAATTGTTGATCAGTATAAAGTTAACATTTCTATTTTCAACCCATGAATAAATAGTTTTCAACGGCTTGACGTTTAGATACGTTGCCAACGTATGTTAGGAAAATGATCAGTGTTATCATTTCTTAGTTCTTTACTTTCTACTAACCATTCAATTTTTCGACATTTATTATTAGTGTCTCTTTAACATCCTATTCATATTTAGGGTGTGAGCCTTTCGGATAAACTGGTTTGAGTAACCAAAGCACTCATGCTTATATCTTTCACTTTCATTTCGTTCGAGACATTCTTGAATGCTGTCTTCAATTGGGTATGATAATTGTTTAAATTTCTCATGGATTATTTTTACTATGAACCACCTACACCTTGAACATTATGGGATTTTCTTCTTAGTTTCTCTAAAAAACATATAAGCTCAGTTCAAATATCAGGGAGATCATATTTACTAGTTTTTGGTAGTATTGCTTTCTTTGAGCTAGATGGTTTAGCTAGTTGACTTTCGTTATTTTAGATGGTATTAGCACTAAAACCATTTTAACTAGTCTTCACAAGTTTTAATAATTATTATCTTCTCTCTAACCGGTTTGTTCGATTAAACTGACTTACCTGTCTTGATTTGATAAATCTGATTTAAATCGATGCTGATTGCAGATTGACATAAATCCCATGCGTTTTGGAATTTCTTGTTATTCTTGAATTCTCTATATAGAGTCTTTAGATTTTTACAATCAAATTTGTATCTGTAGTTGTATGGATACATTGCCGTAAGGGATCACGTATCTGCCGTCACTGTTAGTGCGTTCGTTTATGTATGAGGAAAGTGGAAGTCCATTTTGTATAGTGTAGCACATCTTGCAATTGATGTACCTTATATTCTGTTCCTTTCTCTTTCGTATTTCTGCCTGCATAAGACAAAATTTAATGATTGTATTACTGCATGAGTATTTATCATGTACAACATCGGTTTGTCATTTGATTTCCAAAAGTGCTTTCGTAACAGTGTCATTTTTCTAGACATCTTTTGGTAAATTTGTGCGACTAGCCATTTTTGTAGGCTGTAGACATAAAAGGTGGTGAGACTATGATTTATGGACCTGTTATCCATGTTGAAATAATCTTGAGATCCAACCACTCACTAAACTCAGAAGAGGGTTATGTATTATTGTGAGGGAACTGGGTTAGGATTAGGAGTTGGAAAATACGGTTAGTAATTTGAGTTAAGGTTTTCATGAACTGAGATCAGCTCTAATGCGGGATACTGTCTAACCATTTAGTTGACTGATTCTTGCGCCAAAATCCAAGACTTGCTAACTTAAATCTGACTGGTTCGTGCATATATTATAATCGCGCTTAAGACAACATTTTGTATTTTGTATTAACAGTGTTTCGATGAATTTAGACTCATCTTACTTGTTTCTTTAGTCGCTATCAACGTAGAGCTTTGGATAGATGTGTATTACCCCAAGTCGCCATACAGCAATATCACAAGTTTAAAATAATCAGATGGATTGCAAAACATATCGAAATAATGTAGTTCCAATGATAATGGAAAAGAATAAATATTGATAAATCGTTTCGAAAAGGCAGTGGAAAGTAGTGTATGGAGGAATATTGGGATTCAAGATCGAGATGTGAGTACATCGTCTCCATTATGACTGATTCTAAACCAAGTTACACAGCTGCAACCAATAATCTTGGTTACGACACAGACCACAACCACATTCCACATCTAACGGCATGGCTCATACCAATAGCCAGTGACTTCGTGGACCAATACCATGCTCTCGTTCAATCACTCCTAGCTTCCTTCTGACCTACTTCTACACCAGAAGGCATTACCCATTGAGTTAAATGATTTCTAAAAATGCGTAACATATTGTATTCAATGTGGTTGTTGCTGTCGTATCGTTTGATGGTGTAATACGGTTTTAATAACCTGACCAAAAGTATCACTTAAAATATTTATTTCATTTTTGTTTTCGTTTGCTACAGCTTGTAACTGTTTTCCTTTTTTTCAAATCTTTCAGTTCCTTCTTAAACTACCATGTCATCAACATTGGATCATTTGAAAAAACATACTATTATCGTAGCGGACACTGGAGATTTTAATTGTATGTAATCAATTTTATGATTTAACAAAACAACTCTCATTTCCACTTTATTATTATTATTTACAGCTATTAAAAAGTATTTACCAATTGATTCAACAACAAATCCATCTCTAATATTATCTGCATGCAAATTACCACAATATTCACACTTGTTAGATTCTGCTATTCAATATGCTAAGAAAGAAAAACAGTATGTTTATTTTCTAAAAAAAAATAACAACCGTTTTTAGAACATTAAATGAGCAAATTGAATTAGCATTAGAAAGAATATTTGTATTATTCGGTTGTGAAATATTGAAAATTGTACCAGGACGTGTATCTACTGAAGTGGATGCTCGGTAACAAAACAACAATAACAATAATAATACTTATTTTATTTATTCTTATCTTCTTATATCTTTTTATAGTTATTCATTCAATGTACAAAAACAAATAGAAATAGCATGTCGTCTCATTTCAATGTATGAAGAATTAGGATTTTCTAAAGAACGTATACTTATTAAATTAAGTTCTACATGGGAAGGTATAAAAGCTGCAAAAATATTAGAATCACAATATGGTATTCATTGTAATTTAACATTAATGTTTTCATTTTATCAGGTAATTAATACAAAATGATTGTATGACTTTAAAGTTATGCTTATTTTGTTGTAGCGTTTTTATTTGTAAAATATTTTACAGATTCTTTTATGAATTGATATTTTTACGTTTTTATTCATTAGGAAGTGAATTTTGTTTCTACTCTCTGTTCAAGAATATGTTCTATTCAGTTCTCTTTAACCAGTTCCTGCTTGGGTTTGGGCAACCAGGCAGTATCTCAGCTTTCACATGAATCGAATGATTTATGTGTGCATCCACTCTCTGTGTTCTCCCAAATTCTAATCTTCTGAATTCTTCATGTCCCTTTTTTCCTCTTTCCAAGTTTATTTCACTGGACTATACTCTTTAAATAACATCTCCAAACCCTAATCTTCCCGATTACTGCTTATACTCTTACTACCTCTACGATTACGGGATTTGAATCGACAACTGCATCTCTGTGCTAATGTGGTGTGGCAACTCGAACTGATGTACGTACGTACGAAGTTCTACGTTGTTACTGACTGACTGACTGTGATGCTTATCTATTTGGTGCCTTCTTTGTACCAATGTTTATGTGTTTAGATAAATAAGTAACCAGTTACAGATAAGTTTAATAAATGATTCGGTGAACGTGATATATCAGTGGGTTTGTGAAACTTATTCGATTGAGATGGTTTAGATGTGTTACATATTCTCAACCATTTACTACCGTAATGCATATGATGGAATGAAGGTAGATTGCAAGAAAATTGAATTCGGCCGAAGAAAAACTTTTTATCAGTCCATGAAGTCATTGATCAATAAATTCGGACTATCTAACTTAGATTTGCGTGAAAACCGCAGTCAGTGGGGGTGGACGTTGCGTGATACGTTTAGTAAACAATAATGATGATATATACATTCACTCTTTATCTGACCCTTTGTCTTAAGCATTAAGTATTGTTTTTTTGTTCAACAAATTAATCTTGTCTTTTTGATGCATATCACTCACTAAATGATTCTCATTGTTGTTAATATCACTTATTCTGACTCGTACGGTATTCATTTCACTAATTTGATTTCGTTTTGCTAATATGGTACAACGGACTGATTGTTACGATGAAAATAAACATTCAAAAAGAACGCACAGCAAATAAAACACATAGGAAAAAAACAAAAAAAAATTTGGTGTTGAATGTTATACCTAGAAATAATGTGTATTTATGGATAGTCTTCTGGAAATCCTAGACTTGGATGTTGCGTCAATCGGAAATTGTCAAAAAGATTTACTTGCTGTGTAATACGTATATATGTGTTGAATGTATGCTCATAACCACTGAATGACTTATAGTATTGAAAAGTAATTAGATTTATACATCGTAGGCTACGTGGGGTGGTAATCATTGAAGTTCATAATAAAAAAAATAGTAAGTCATTACATGTGTGAGAATGTCAATAAGATTCTGGGAAACATAAGACGATCTGTTTATAATTTTATTTATCAGGGTATGAAGAAGGATTCAGTACATTATACTTCTATACATATAAATCAGTTTGAAAACATTTAATGATATAACAGTTTCTCTATAAATCATAGCAAAAGCCAAGTAATTTCACTACTGACAATTTTAACTTTCCAAATATACAGTTTAGTAAAAGCATGTTCAAAAGTTTGTATAAATAAACCTTTCTTGTGCTTCTTTTCACATATCTCTCACGACTGATACATAAAAATTCACAAGTGTAATTAATGGTGACTTTGAAAAAATGGTATCTACTGAAATTTATTAAATTGTTACATTTGCGAATTCAATCCTTATCGGATGGAAATAATTATCCACCTCCGATAATAGATGAAGGGTTGTGCAAGATCATAGATCGATAATACCGTTGGATGTCGATTTAATGGTCTAGAAGTTAGGCGTTCATGTGTGAGACCAAAGTTCCTGGGTTCAAGTTCCACGTGCAGGATCGTAAATCCCCACTTTTGAGGCATCCTATACTAGAACGAAACAGCCGTTCAATACTTCCAGGTTTTCAATGGTGGTTTAACTTAGATAGATTTATAAATTCAACTGTTGAAATCCTAACATTCATTGATACATAAACTGATCATAAAAATGCATTCAAAAAATATCTTTGGCTAGTACAAAAATTATGTTACTGGTCAACAAAAGGTTTGTGCTCAAATTTTCTAAATCTGAGATCGAAACATCGTCTACATATATATATGCATACTTGTATCGAGATGTATATGTACATAATTAGGTATAAGTTTGTAGCGTCTAGTATTATATCCAACGGACATGGTTTATTCTAGCTTCCGGAAAGATCGATTTATTCATTCATGTCAATTCACATTTTTGACTCTCTTAATTATTCACTTATTAACTTTGACTGCTAGTATAGGAGGGTATATGTGTGCACTGCTTATCCTATTTATCACATGTCTCTAGCTTCTTTTTTCGGACTATAAATATTGAGTCACGCTCACTCACCTTCTTCGCTTTTGCGTATTTTATTCTGAATATCTGTCTAGATAAACGAATGCTTGTAATAAATTTCTCCGAGACAACCCATTTTTGACTTCTTATTACAACCGTCATACATAGGGTTAGTCTAGGATTAAATGGAAGATTTATATTCATAACATATTTATACATTCATCCAAATCAGAGTTAGATCAACTGATCACGAAAGGATCACTGATGTTCTTTTTTTTTCTTTCGAGAGTGTTTCTTTTTGTTTTACTTAACTCATATATTTTGAGAAATATATTGAAATAATTCATTTTTAAATGTATATTACTTTAAATTTATTAGGCTATAGCTTGTGCTCAAGCTAATGTTACATTAATTTCACCATTTGTTGGACGTGTACTAGATTGGTATATAACTAAATATGGTAAAAAAGAATATACTAGACATAATGATCCTGGTGTTAATTTGGTTACTCGTATTTATAATTACTATAAATCTCATGGTTATAAAACACAGGTGAGTTAATGAATTCTTTATTTTAAAATAATTATAAATATATATACAGATTAAGATGTTTTTTTTGAGCTAGTGAAGCTGTTCGATTCCTTAAAAATGATGTAGACAAATTGGGACTCGAACTTATAACTTACTAATCAAGGGTTAGATAAAGTTGTTATGTAAAGCATTTTGTTCAAACTAAAGATAACGAAATCTCAGCACGGGTACAGAAGGCTCGACTAACTTTTGCCAACTTGCGTCATTTATGGCGTAGGCGAGGTATCCGTCTATCAACCAAAGGACGTATTTACTGCGCAGCAGTTCGTTCCGTCCTACTTTCTGATTGTGAAACATGGCCGGTAAGAGTAGAGGATATTCGTAGGTTACTAGTATTTGATCATAGGTGTCTTCGAAACACTGCTCGTATATCCTGGGACCATCGAGTAAGTAGCGCAGTTGTTAGGAAACGAGTAATAGATGAGGATGGCAAATTAATTGATGAAGTAGTAAAACCTCATCAGTAGAGATGTCTGGGACACGTGTTATGTATGCCCAACCACCGACTGCCTCGACGTGCGATGTGTAGGATTAGGTTTGAAGAAAGGTATGGGCGGCCAGATCAAAACATGGCACAAATCCATGACTGACAAATGAACTGAGCCATGTTGGTAGGTGTAGACTACCTGATTGGAGACCGCGAGATGATAGCAACCGATGGTTAGAGACCCTGAATGACATGGCTCAAAATCGTTTGCAATGGCGCAGGTGCATCCATTCTTTGTGTTCTCCCAAATTCTAATCTTCTGAATTCTTCATGTCCCTGTTTTCCCCTTTACAAATTTATTTCACTGGACTGTACTCCTTAAATAACATTTTCAAGCCCTAATTTTTTCGGTTGCTGCTTATACTCTTACTACCTCTACCACTACGGAATTTGAGTGGACAACTGCATCTCTGTGCTAATGTGGTGTAGCAACTCGAACTGATGTACGTACGTACGAAGTTCTACGTTGTTACTGACTGACTTAGATTAATCTCTAAAGCTTGTTAGGTTCGTGTTAAAATATGATGATCTTGAATTTAGTTTGATTTCAAACTGAAAATCAGTAGATGTTCAGTTGTACCCCAGAAATAATATAAAAAGTAGAAAATCTTGAAAACAATAGAATAAAATATAATAATACAGTGTTTGACACAAACGACCGTTGGAGGTGTCATCACCCTTTGATATGAAGACCTTTCAACTTTCAGGGCAGAGTTTAAATGGTTTAACTGATCTCTGGTTGGAGTTTTATAGCAAGATTCTTATTTACGAGATGTCACTAACCGCATGCATAACCCTCCTCTTTTACTTGAGGCAGAATGAACGGCACATGTTCCATTTTATTTACATTTGCGCCAACTAGACAAAACCTATGGGATTCAGCTTAATCGTGAAGCACTAATTTGGTGCAATTGACTATGAGCCACATTGTTTTTGTAGGAGGAATGGCCAAATAGAAATAAGTGTAATGTTCTTTTAATCTGAGTTCTGTTGAGTGGAAGCTAAGTGCCTAACTTAACTTGTTGTAGAAAACGTTATGATTCGTTCTCTGTTAAGAGATTTCTTTGTTTTAAATAACAAATTTCGTTACAACCTGACATCAAGTGAAGTAAACATTAAAATCCCATTAACACTTGATAGGTGTTTGATCGTAATTGGTTACTTGTCTTCAGTGTACACTCATAACGCATTCTCAATGTAGAACTCAGGATTTCCATATATCACAACAAACACAATACCATTCAAACCACTGAAGTAAAACTCAGTTACATGTTTTTGAAGTTGTTCTTTTTTTTGCAGCATTTAATGCATTCGGTTTTTTTAATTGTTTGTTTTTATTTTTTATTCCACACCACTGACTTTTTATCATAACCGTTGAGAACCAGAAAACACTTTGCAGATGCTTCATCCCTAATATGTGACTTATCAGTGGGGACTTACAACCAGCTGTCAAACTTAAGGTCTTCAAACTTCATTTCAATCACTTAACATCTAGACTACTGAATATAACACCCACTGGTTTGCATTTCCAATCTTAATCAATTCGTGATTTTACACAACTACAATTGGTTACCAGTGATAACAATTGTCTCACGGCTTCTGGCTAGAATTACAAAAATTACCTGTAAAAATTAGTCACTACTTATTTATTTATTCATTTAAACAGATTAAGATTGATACAACGAGGCACCAAGTATATATGCGCTACACAAATCATTCGATTTATGTGAGGGCTAGGATACTCCCCGGTTGCCCAAACCGAAGCAGGTGGTTTTCTTAGGGGATCACAGCCCGAACTTTTGACCTAGAGGTCTAATCCACAAGGTAGTGTGGCAACGTTAGGACATTCAGTCTAATGGTAGGCGATGACCAACATTAGGTTCTTACCTTCTCTGTTCCTTCATGATCTTGGAGCATATGTCCACCATTGGTTTGGAATCTCCGTATCCATCGATCCGGTTAAAGCACCGCACAATCACTTTCCGTCCTTTCAATTCCGTAAACATCGACCCAACCGCGAGAAGGCGATGACTAGGACTTCCCTGACAGTGTCTGTATACATGTGGTCATGTGAGAACACTTTGAAGGGGTGAGAGGACTTTCTCCACCCTCGACTGTATCAGGCATTTGTGTGTGAGTCACTACTGATGAACATAGGATTGATTTGTTTTTATTATGATAAGCTTTAAAGACTGGTATAGTTTTACATCATAGACTAACTTTGACTAACTCATGACTTCTTAATTAACATTAGGATTTAATTAGTTTATTTGAAGAAAATATAATAAATGGTACAATTTCTAATTAGGTTATGGTTATGCAATCCATAAATGCAATCAATTCTATTATGCATCTACGATTCGTTTAGATTAGTTCATGTTAGCTTAATAAACTTGCTATATATATATATATATATATATATATATATATATATATATATATATATATATATATATATATATATATAGTAATAATAACTTTATTACTAGTAATCGATTAATTATCAGTAATATGTGCTAGTTATCCTTTTCTTTCGTTTATATTCAATATTTTGGCACCATAATCTAATCAATACTGTGTCGTACTTCGGTCAATATATCACAGTTATGAATGTTATCATTGTTTAATTAATTAGTATCTATTTGTGATAAATTTCTTAGCTTCATATTTTTGTGTCAAGTATTTTCTATGTATTCAAAAGTATATGAATCCATTATGTATCAAACAATCAGTTTCAGTGATAACTTCTTCAATCTATACAATTATCAATCTTATGGAGATTAGTTTAATTTGTAGGTTATATTTGTTACAGATTGATCTTAGTTAAAGCTCAATTGAAAAACAAGGAGTAATTGATAGCTATTTCTTCCTAATATAAATCTCTTTAACAATGCTCACTTAACACCCCACCATGAACTGAACCTTACTTACTTACACCTGTTACTCCTCGTGGATGAGCATAGGCCGCTCACCAGAATTCTCCATCTAACCCTGTTCTGGGTGGTCCTTTCCAGCTCTTTCTAGTTGTTATTCATCCCTTTCATATCTGATTCTATTTCCCGACGTAATGTGTTCTTTGGCCTTCCTCTTCTCCACTTCATTTTAGCATTTCAAGTTAGCGCTTGTCTTATGATGCAGTTTGGTGATTTCCTTAATGTATGTCCTATCCATTTCCATCGTCCTTTCCTAATTTCCTCTTCAGCTGAAAGCTGGTTTTTTCTCTCTCACAATAGGCTGTCGCTGATGGTATGTTGAGTGTCTTGTGAACTGAACCTAGAACCTTTGATTCTTTCAGCTCACATTTAACCATTAAAACAACTGATTTGGCTTACGATCACTAGAGTGGAAAAGCTTTCCAGTGCTCCTTGGTTTTCAATTGAAGTCAATCTATGATGAACTCAGCTTACAAATTACTGTATTACGTTAGACAAAAACGTATGTATATAAGCATATAAATCAAACTACCCAGCGTTATCCTTGGAAAATATCAAATTTTATATTGATTAAATCTTAAATACTAACCAAATAAAGTCATGGGTAAAGTTCATACAGGGTCATACACGAAGAGGTAAGAAATATCATATCCTTTAAGATTAGACTAAGAATCAATCATCTTTATTATGGAATATAGCAAATAAATAAGATTGTATGTATCTTCTTTGTATGCATATCTAAGGTTTCTTCGAACTGACAACCGTTTTTTTCGCTATTTAGAGTTAGGGTAATCGTACGCTATTTGGGAATCTTCTGAATAAGCCTCTTCATTTTTTGGTATTGTTTATTTTCAAATAGATAGCTATGAATGATACCGATAATAGAGATCATAGCGCCCACTCAATTTCGCAAACAACAGTAATAGCGTGAGAATGCAGTGAGTAGGACTTCTCTGACAGTGGTTGTGTATACACATGACCATGTAAGTCATTTTGAGGAGAGCTGACTCTCCCCATTCTCGGCCGTACCAGCGCATTTGGGGGCAGCATTTCTATCAGTATTACTTTGTAATTGAAGCGTAGTAAAGAAGAGAAAATCACATTCATATTATAATTAACGCATTAAAAAAAAACTAATTAGAAACTTGCTAGAGCAATCAAGAGATTACGCAACTGTTTTAAATAAATGCTCAATTCTTCCTAGAAAAAGTGGATGTCAATACTTTTTTCCAGTGTTTCGCGTAACGTTTTGCTCCTTTTCGAATAATTTCCAAAATTTTCAGTCTGTTAATTATTAAGTCATGCATATACTGATTTTTACCATTTTAAATTGTTTTACTTAAATGTCACTTTTATCTTATAACTCATCGTGTTACTGTTGTATTGTAAACAGGTGGCGCTATCGAGTGCTCAATAGAGTCGTTTTTTGAGAGTTGAGTTTTTGAGTCGATCTAAGCCAGACCGCCATTAAAAACCTGGAAGCATTGGACGACCGTTTCGTTCTAGTATAGGATACCTCAGAAGTGTGGATCCACGATCTC